ACTTCAATCACAGATTTATGTAACACCAACCTGACATCATATATTACTAATGAAATATGTAACAACTTATGATGGTTACAAATACATAATGCCAGTTTGCTTTAGAATTACCAGTTATTGTGCATCCCACACCAAAGCAAAGCGACATAAAAGCTAAAAGACACTAATCTTACTCGATCAAGTTTACTAAGAAATGAATTGAAAAAGGTATTCCAAAAATGGCAACTTTGGAGACTCTAGCGGCAAAAAACGCAGTTTACAAGTTTAGAGAACACAACATCGTGAATTGGGCATAATTGGCAATATCTAACTAATCAACTAACATTACGCAAGAAATGCATCGAATCAAAGCTTTATAACTAGTCTTGAAAGAACATTGTTTTAAAGGCTGCAGATAGTGACATTGCAATTTTCCTGACCTCAACTCTTTACTGGCGAAACAGGACAGGGGCAGTCTATGTTACTGGGATGGACCAAACACTGCAAATTTGGCCTGCCAACCAAAAGGTGGAGAAATAAAGTTTGGTCATGGAAACGAAATAGAAAACAAAAGACAGAAAAGATATATCTACCCTCCTCGAAACACTTCACTTGCTGGATTAGCAGTCATGGCTGATACAAGCAATTAGCTGGTGCTATATTTCTCACACGATCGATCAGTAGAGAAAGTTCTTGGTTAGTGTAATCAAGTCGATCCTTTGAGATCATAGACTCTGTGAGGAGAGTTTCTGTGAGCGAATGAAACGTTTGAGCAGAGTCATCTCCAATCCCCTGGCCATTTTGATTCTCTGCAGCTACATGAGGACTTTCCTGTCTCCATCGTAATAGAAAGTACTGGTCAGGTATATGGAAGCAGTTCTTCACGGTCAGTACCCGAAGAGTGTGCCTGCATAAGATTCCGGAATGCTCAAATTCCTTGCATGAACACTGGATCTCCTCGTTTTCCGGGTTCCAGATCACACAACATTCCCCTTCCATTTTCTTAAAGTGATGTACGATGTATGGACCATTGGCCATCTCAGCCACAGCATACTGAACAGACAAAACCATTTCGTTTTGTAATACGCTAAACGCATAAGGCGTCAGAACCCCCCTTGCATGATCTTCCATAGGCATACAGGTTTTCAAACTCGGATAAGTGAACCGTGGCGGGATTTGCTTGGCTAGACTTGCAGCAGCACTGACCTGCAATGCTCTCCGGAATAATGAATCAAGGCAGCAATGAAATAATATTGGAATTGAATAAAGTGTATGGTTCATATGATTCACAAACCTCTTCAAGTAATAGTTGCATGCATGTTGGTCCAGCAACAATTCGTTTCAAGAAAGAATCTATACATTGATTAAACTCAGGGGTCATAGTTTGAGCTACAAAATGTTCTCTGATGTAACAAGGAGACCAGGATGCTCGGCACGAATAAAGCAAAGCCGCATGCCTGTCTGGAACAAGACCAAACTGAGTGACAAGGAGATTCCACTGCTGTTCAAATTCATCTACATTCCCTGCCCGACATAACATATCAAACCCACCTCTAAATTCATCATAGTGCGACCCAAGTGTCTGAGAAAACCAGCTAGCTAATTTGGAGACAATGTGCCACATAAATACCACATGGTTAGTATTTGGCATTTCCCTCGCAATAGCTTCTTTAAGTCCTGTATCTATATCCGTCAAAATTGTCTGAGGATGTCGTCCCCTCATGAAACGAACAAAAGTCTGTCCAAAATAAGAGAAAAACGGAGAGCATGACCACAACATATATACTTACATCTACTCCAATCTTGAGAATTACAATAAATTGGATGCACAAACCTGTAAAGCCCATGTGAAAGAATGACAGCTCTCATCTTGAAGCAAAACACATCCCAAAAGCATCGCCTTGCCATTGTTATCTATGCCAAAAAACACCCCAAGAAGCAAGCCATAAGGGATTGACCGATAAGTAGTGTCGAAAACAACCACATCCCCAAATAAAGAGTATGCCTGAATAGAATCTCCATAAGCCCACGCAAGGTTTTCAACTTTCTGATTCTCATCAGACGTACAATCATAAGCAAAATCCATATCTCTCTCAGCCAACCCCTTGCAAGACTCAAGAAGCTCCAACGTATCACTCTCTCGTTTCTCGCTAAGAAAAGCATCATTCTCTTGAACACTCTTCTTACACGCCCTAACAAAGTTCCTAACATCTTTCTCTATAAACGGCAACTGCCCAGCCTGAACACCTTTCTCTAACTCCAACAACTTAACAATCCGATTCACAGGAAACCCCGCTTTCGACAACAAAAGAATCCTATCCTGATCACCCTGCTGTATCTTCCTATAAGCTGGAAGCAACCTAACTTGATCATCTTCCAAAAGCTCATGGTTATGAACATTACTAAACTGTGAAACATACCAATGACTGACACCATCAACAACTTCTTTAGTCAAATACAACTTAGCATCACAACCACATCGAACAGACTTACGCTCCCGAGGATGCTCAACATTAGCTTTCTTCCTAGGCTGATTAAAACCAGAACGATAACAAACGAAATCTCGCCTATAAACACCTAAATTCTGACTCTCAGTAGACCGCGCTTTTCGAATCGAAAAACCACTCTTCCTAGCGAATGTACTGTAATACTCAAACGCTTCATCGTCAGTTCTAAAGATTTGACCAACATAAGGCATAAACACAGTATCGTACAGTGATGATGTTGATGTTGTTGTTGTTGATTCGATCTCGCTTTTGGTTACTTGACAGGTTGATTCATCTCCTTCGAGTCTGATGTAGCATTTCCAATCACCACAAGGACATTGTTGACGACGTATCCAGATGTTATTCAATGGCTTCAACGCCATGATTTAAGGGGAAAAAGCTTCACAAAAGTTAGGGATTTAGAAGGAGATTGAGCAGATTACATACAATTGATAGTCGAAACCAATTCAGAAACCCTAGAAAGAAAAGTCGATAGTCTAGAAATTGACGATATCGGATTGATTCTCCGATTTTACTCTACCAAACGACGATCTATCACTAGTGGAAGGAGAGGACCAATCGGGAAATTGACGGAGGCGTATCAGATTATTGCAAGGAGAATTGAAAAAGCTCACTAAGGAATTGGATCTTCTTCAATACGGTTGTGGGTGATATAACACTCTCTCGTCCCTCTGCGTTGTCGTTTCGAAGTTGAGTTTTTTAACAAACTCCATTGTTTTTTTTTTTTTCTGTGGCTTTTGGGGAAAAATGGACATTTTTTTATTGATGACCAATGGGACCAGCAAGTGAAGAGATGCAGAACATATTAGTAAGGGATTTACTTATCCTTAACTAGGTGGATTGGGATGTGAATACCCATAAAGAGGAGGCTTGACTTTAAAACCAAGTTGTCTGGGTGCTCCTGATAGAAGAATTTCAGTCCATACCCCCTCAGGAGATTAGCGGATTAGTGTAAATGATTTCGGACGTAATTTAATGTGTTAACATTATAAGATATGTATAAAGATGTAAAGAATTTCCCAAGGATAGGCTAAGATTATGCAGTCACCCTAATCAAGGAAAGGAAAGACATCAACAATAAGCCAACCAATCAATCTCTTTGGATCTTCACACCTAAGGTATGGTTAATAGGGAAGTCACTAGCGACCAATCTAATCTATATGCTAAGGCAATAAAAGCCAACGACCAAGAAATACACTCGTGTAACATGGCTTTAATGAGAACATGCCCTTCAACGTATAAAACCTCACATCGTAAATGATTCAACTCGAGTAACATTGAAAATCAAGCAATTTTGTGGAAGCCCCCTTGACCCATTGGTTGACTAAGTGTTAATTAATGTTTTTACACCAAGAGGTCTAGGGTTCGAGTCGCAGGTACTGCGATTTATTAATAAATTTAAAGATTAATAGAGACAAGTGTGCATGAGATCTCCAGCGATGTACAATTATAGCCATTCGCCAGAATTCTACGCAGAGAAAGAAGTGTCGTCAGGTCGTGGATCATTGAAGGTGTCCGTCGTGGATCTAATAAGGGTTGGAAGGAATTGTCCGTTGTAGAATCGTCTATGTAACCTAGACATACCGTTGAATCCTGAGGATTAGACGGCAAATTCAGACGTTAAAAAAAAAACCCCAATCAATGTTTCCATAAATTAAACAATGATCATATATGTTTACACATATAACGACTCACAGATGACTACTGACGGTAAGATTACCGGAACTTCTTCACAACAACGGTACAACAGAGCTTCCTTCACCTTCAAATTTTCTACCCAAACACCCAATATGAAGGTTCAAGCTCGGTATTTTTAGAAGAATCATCTCTCAGGTCCTTTGACCAGAAAAACAATTCAGCAATACCCTTCCCGAAATTGCCTATTTATTTTATTTATTTTTTTAAATAGAAAATGTGGCTAAATACCTTCATACCCTCAAAAAACCTTGAAAACTACAGACCCAACCAATGTTATCCCCACCCAACCATCACAAAACCCACATAATTCGGATCTCTCTCTCCCTTTTGAAACACTTAGAAAAAACAAAGGAACGAAGGAAATCAAATCGTTTTTTTTTCCCTCGTTTCATTCTCTTCTTCTTTTTCGGCAGTGGAGTACAACCGTGGATAACCTGAGATTGTGTCTTCTTTGTGTAAGTCGAAATTGCTATTCAATTTCTCTGTGATTTCGTGTTGCCGATTGGATTTTGTTTGAGCAGGTTAGAATCCGATTAGGTTAGAATCTGATTCGAGTTATTAATCGTTTTTGTTGTTTGGTTTGAACAGGATTCGAAATGCGTACAAAAAAACCCAAGCTATCGTGAAGAACCAAATCCAACAGATGTAATGGTAGAAGCACAAGAGACTCGTGGAGATGAACCCGAAGAAACCGATTCTAATCTGGCGTCTAATCCTCAGGATTCAACGGTATGTCTAGGTTATTGATCTAAAATTCCTAAATCAGAGAGTACAACTAAGTATGACTTAGGGTTTCTTGTTCTTAAAATCGCAAATCAAAAAGTACAACTTAGTACGACTTAGTGTATCTTGATCTATAATTAATTGAATCAAAATGTACAACTTAGTATAACTTAGTGTATGTTGATCTATTTTACAGGAACCCGGGGAAGAAATCGAAGCTATGCAACCTCTAAATATGTACTTCGGTTCCGAGGAGTATACAAAACCATTTAAGATTTCTGCGAAGTGTTATATCGCACAGACAGTGAGGCTATTAGGGACTCTTCTAAAACCCGATGAGTTGGATTGGTTCCTCTTGCACCCCTAGTTCAAGCATTTCTTCCATATGCCTAAAAACTCAAATCATAAGTTGATGGGTATGTGGATGCTCTTGCTTCGTACAGCGTGTTTAGAGAAGAAAAAAGAATGATGGTTCATTGTTAATGGGGTCCCAATCCGCTATTCTCTCAGAAAAATAGCACTCATGTCTGGATTAAACTGTCGAGAATATCCACCTTTCATGGAAGGATTGGGGAGTTTAGAATTTGCTGGGAAGTACTTTGGGGTTGGTACAATAGTAACATATGCAAAAGTCAAAGCGAAGCTGCTGTCAATGAAGGAACCTGGGACAGACCGCTTGAAGATGGCTTTGCTATTCTTCCTATCCAGCATAATCATAGGGAAGAAAAAAGGAGGGCAGCAAGCACCCTCTATAGAACCTTTCTTTCTTAGAGTGGTGGATGATCTTGACACATGTAAGACATTCCCTTGGGGTCGCTTAACGTTTGATGAGAACATGAAAGACATCTTTCATTTGATGAACCACTTTGATGGAGTTGTGGGGGCACCATGGGTCTTTCCTAGTTTTGTAATTCCTTTGGAGGTAATTATGTTTTGAAAATAGTATATATTGGTATAACTTGCTTCATATAAGGTATAACTTGCTTCTGTTCTATGCAGCTTCTTGCGTTTGAAGCAATTTCTATTTTGAAGAACACTTTCAGAGAAGATGTTAGTAATGTACGTGCATACCGTAGGTGTCCTCGGATGTGCAGGATGAAATATAAACCCAGCAAAATGAAAGGCTTTTCTTTGACAGAAATTTATGACTGTCTTGGTACAACTAAGGTAATTAGTATAACTTGCTTGAAATGGTACAAATCAGTATAACTTGCTTCAGAATTCATCATCATCACTATTTTTTGTATTTTACAGGAGATTCATAGTATCTTGCCTCCATCTTCTCGTGAGACACATCTTCTAGGCCGTATCATGGTAGCAGATAATGGATGGAAAGATGTGGATGATCCAATAGCTGATGGTTGGAGCAAGTGTTTAATTGACCAAGAGAATTCAATATTGTTTGAGGATCTTTATAACCAAGATGTGGCTACCCAGGGAATTGAGGTAGGTGATGTGGAACTTGATAATGTGGATTCGGATGATGTGGAACATGTGGCTACGGATGATGTGGAACATGATAATGTGGATCAAGATGATGTGGCTCCAAAGAATTTGGTTGAGCTAGGAGATATGTTTATTCAACTAGAAGACCGGATGAACTAAGGGTTTAAGGAAATCATGGAGAAGATTGATGGCTTGGATGGCAGAGTAACATCTGTGGAATCTTATGTGAACTGGTAAAGAGGTGCAGAACAAGTTTGTCCTACTTTTGATGTAGAGAAGACACAAAAAGAAGCAACAGAGGTAGAGATGAAAATGACACAGGAAGTGCAAGCTGAGAAAGAGAAGGCTGAGAGGGAGAAGGAGAAGGCAGAGAGGGAACAAGCTGAGAAGGAGAAGGAGAAGGCAGAGAAAGAGAATGCAGAGAGGGAACAAGCTGAGAAGGAGAATGCAGAGAGGGAGAATGCTGAGAAGGAGAAGGCAGAGAAGGAGAAAGCAGAGAAGGAGAAGGCTGAGAAGGAGAAGGCTGAGAAGGAGATGGCTGAGAAGGAGATGGCTGAGAAGGAGAAGGCTGAGAAGGAGTTGGCTGAGAAGGAGAAGGCTGAGAAGGAAAAGACAGAGAAGGAGATGGCTGAGAAAGAGAAGGCAGAGGTTGAGAAGGTACTAGCTGAAAAGGCAGAGGATGAGAAGGTAGAGGCTGAAAAGGCAGTGGCTGAGAAGGTGGAGGCTGAGAAGGCAGTGGCTGATAAGGTGGAGGCTGAGAAGGTAGAGGGTGAGAAAGAAAAGGCTGTGACTGATCAAGAGGAGAAGGTAGAGGGTGAGAAAGAAAAGGCTGTGAATGATCAAGAGGAGAAGGTAGAGGGTGAAAGGCAAATTTCAATTCAGTACGAGAGAAAATCGAGAAAGATAAATGCAGAAGTACAAGGTGAAGAAGAAGTTGCAGGAGAGGCTTAACAGAATAAAAAGATGAAGCTTATAGGTAAGAAAGGGAAGAAGGGGTCTACTGTGGTCATTCGGAGTCCTATAATTACAAGGTAGAAGAAGGAGCAGAAGAACGATTAAGGTTGTTTATGAGTCATATGTGAACTCTTTGTGTTGTTGGTTTTTTGTTAAGTTCGAGTACACCTTGGTTTTTATTTAAGTACAACTTGATCGGAATGTTTGATGAACTCTTTATGTTGCTTAGTTTTATGTTGAATTTATGAGTGAACTCTTTATGTTGGTTAGTTTTATGTTGAATTTATGAGTGAAATCTTTGTGTTGGATGGTTTAGTGTTATGTTTATGAGTCATTTTGCATTGTCTAACTAGGTACACATGGTTTTTGTTTAAGTACAACTTGTCAAACTAGATACTCGTTGAGACAAACTTTTAAGTAGATTACACAATGGGAAATAGATTAAGGGAGACAATAAAAGTATATTACAACAAGAACACAACTACAGAAAACGATTAAAGTACGGAAATAGATTAAGGGAGATAATCTACAAGAAAACATGGATTTAGCGACTACACTAATAGTAACAAAATCGTCGCTAAATACATAATTACGACTGTTTGGCGACTAAAACACGTAGTCGCTGAACCTTGCGTCGCTAAATTAATATGTCGCATAACAGTCGCTATTTGGCGACTAATAGGCGACCATTATTTGCAGTCGCTATTCAGTCGTCACACAGTAGCTAAGTTTGCGACTCTTTTGGCGACTGTTTTGTGACGAATCTAGCGACTGTTATGTCACTACATGGCGACTATTTTCTAAATGTTTTGGTAACTGAATTGATACTACTTTGCGACTGATTATTATCGACTTAGAATGCTAATTTTGGATGAATAAATTGTTGCTAATTTGATTGTTATTACCAATTTATAAGCAAAAAGACTTCTATTTAAAACATAAGAACATTGTAAAATAAAACACAACATAAACATACATTATAAACATAAGAACCAAGTTCAAGTAACCAAACAACTTACACAAGTTTTCAAAGCAACACAAATGTTTTCAAGTTCAGAGAAGGAGGGAAAGTTTAGAGAAGGAGGGACCTATGGTTGTTGAGCAGTAGGAATAGCAGCAGTAGTAGCAGCAGTCGTGGCATCAGCAGTCGTGGCAGCAGCAGTGGCAGCAGTCGTGGCAGCAGTCATGGCAGCAGTAGTGGTATCAGTGACAGCAGATTGAGATTTGAGGAAGGCCATAAACTTTGGGTCAGTCTCGCTCAAATACTTCATCACCATCGCCAAATGCTTGATCTCAGCTGCTTGCTCAGCTGCGACCCGCAAAGCCTCTGCTTCACGTTCTGCTTGGAGCGCTGCTTGTTCCTCTATCTTCCGGTTAGCATCCTCAAGCTGTGATTGGAGTGTTGTGAAAGAAGAACTGCTTCATGGGTACTTGCGCTTCCCGTTGATGTAAACCCCGAGGCTGCCAACACCAAAGTATTCTCCTCTGTCGTTTGTGACAGTAGACTGCATACCAAAAGAAAGAGTATTACACAGTTAGACTGCATAACAAAAGCAACCATAAATAACAGACTATTTACCTGAAGGAAGATCTCATCATCCTCCTCTTGAGATAGCTCAGATCATCGCGAAGTTCCATCTGCTTGTTCATCATTCTCTTGAAGGGCAGCCAACTTAGCTGCCTTGTTCTTGAGATATGTTTCATGGACTTCCTGCGCCTTCCTATCCACAAAAGTCCCATCCTTCTTGGTATGAGTCCTGATGAAAACTTCACCAATAGTAGGAGGTCTTCCCAATTCAACTTCCTGAAACAAAGTAAATATATAGGTCAGAATGTAACTAAGTAATCTAATACTAAAACAAAGTAAATAGGTCAGAATGTAACTAAGTAATCTAATACTAAAACAAAGTAAATAGGTCAGAATGTACCATCTCTTGCTCTATTTGTAAAAACGACTTTGGACTAGAAACATGCTTGTGAGGACCAAGACCATTACGGTTAGACATCCTAGCTGCTGATGTGGTTGAACTCTTTGCTAATGCTTCTTCAGTGTCCAAATAGGCACACATCTCTATCCAAAGTGTTTTCTCGATCCAATAAGGCCTCTCTCGTTTTGAACATGCCTTGCTAACCATGTCTTTCATCCGCAGCTGACAAATCTTGTAGAATTTAGCTTCAACAACACCTGTCACTGAGGGATGCCAGGTGTGAAGTTTCTACAAAACAAGAGTAGAGTTTGGTGTTAGTGATCAAAAAACAAAACAAAAGTGTAATTACATAAGTATAAGAGGAGACAGAATTTTACCGCGAATTCGAGGAAGTATCTTTCTCTTCTACCAGTAGGCACACAGCTCCAACTGTAATATGGCCCATCAAACTTGTTTGTGAAACATTTAGTGATCTTCCGGGTCAGCTTTCCATTGTCCTTACCAAACCTACAATCACATAAACCAGTTAGCTTTGATACCATCCATAATCTATAAACAAGTAGACCTAATCAAATACAAACATACTCTAACTCAAATTATACAAGCAGACTCTACTTAAGTTATACAAGCAGACCAATAAAGCTAATACTATATACTAACAGACTCTAACTCAAACTATACAAGCAGACCAATACAAACATAATCTATATACTAACAGACTCTAACTCAAACTATACAAGCAGACCAATATATAAACTAACTCTTAACAAGCAGACCTATATACAAGCAAACCTAACAGACTATAAGACCAAAACATGCAGACCAATAAGAAGACTCTACTTAAGTATTGAAAATGTTTACCAAGCTAACCTATTTACCTAATCTATATACAATCAGACCTATATACAATCAAAATTAAAAATGTTTACCAAGTGGTTTCAGGCTCAAGGTTGGGAGAGATGACGGTGGTGTACTTCTCACGGCCTGGGATGAGAAGTGTAGCATGTAAATCCGCGAGGACATCTTCTGGGAGTGTTGAATCCCTCAACACATCTTCTTCAGATTCACCTTCAGCTTCCTCATCTTCAGATTCCTCGTGTGAGTTTTGAGCCTGAGAACTATGATGCGATACAGAGGCTCGAGGTTGAGGAGAAGGTCTTTGTTGACGAGATGGTATTTGTCGATTCGACGCTGCAGGCTGAGTCGACGCTGGAGGTTGAACCGGCGCAGGAGGTTGAACCGGCGCAGGAGGTTGATTCGACCGAGAAGCTAGACGATGAATAGATCCTACAGAGCCTCGTCCTTGAACAGATCCAGACCCTCGAACTTGAGTAGATCCAGATGCCCGAAATGGATATGACCCAGACCCTCGAATCATCGCCGGACTGGAACAGCTGCGTCGGAGGAGGATAGTCTCTATGAGTCGGAGGCTGAGACTCTAGGGCTACAGGATTTACCGGACTTTGTTGAGTCTCTGGGGCTTCAGGATTCGCCGGAGTGAAGGTATACTGGCTAGGAAGAGTACTGGGTCTTCGATTTGACGTCCCAGAAGCAGTGGGTCGATTGGCGACAGGTCGATTTAGGGAAACCTTTGGAGCCCTTCCTCCTCCTCCTCTTCCTCTCTTACTTTTTCCACCACGAGGAGCCATCGAGAGATACAAAAAAGGATTAAGAAGATGAAGGATTGATAGGATTTAGAGAAGAATTGATGGGGAATTAGGGTTCTTCAGTGAAGAATTAGTCGTCTGCGAAGGGAAAAGAAGATTAGGGTTTTCTGCGAAGGGAAAACGAGATATATACTTGGGCTTATGGGCTAATGTTACTGGGTCGTTGGGCTTCTTGGCCCAATTTGAATGTCCAACTAGAATTACGCAGTCGCTAATTCGTAGCCACTGAGTCGCTCCAGTTGGCGACTAAATATTCGGTAACTAATCCATCGCCATATTTAGCGACTATATAACGACAATATAAATCAGTCTCATATTAGATACTAATTAGCGACTATCGTATTTTGGTTCATATTTAGTCGCCAAAACGTAGCTAAACGGTCACTAGCTGTAGCGACTGCAAAATTAGTCGCCGAATTAAGTCGCTAATCCCATGTGACAAACTTCTTAGTAACCAAGAACAAGGTTTACTTAGTTGTACCATTTTACTAGACATACTACAAGAACACAACTACAGAAAACGATTATCATCTTTTTATTAAGTTCCTTCATATCTTGTATCTTCTCCATCTTCATCAGTCTAACTTCTTCTTCAAGAACATCTACTTGAAAATCCAATTGTTCTATCTCATCCACCAATGCTTCATCAAGCCACTTGAAGACATGGTTATCATTCTCAAGCTACATCAACAAATTGGTAAAATAATAGGAAACATTACACAATAGTAGGAAATGTTAATCAAACTAAAAGGCATAATATTTACCTTCATTTGTGCCGCATACGCACACCTGTAGTAGCGACGATACGGATTTGGTACCGATCTAGAAATTTTTTGAACAATTGGGGACTCACAATGACACTTTTTCGGAATTCCAGGAACCCTTACTCGGTTAGAGGAGATCGAAGCTCCTGAATTGCAGCTCATTCTCAATTAGACTGAAATTGAAGAAAAACCCTAGAGAAAACCTATGAAACGAGGAAGAAGGAGGAGAAGGAGAAGGAGAGGGATGGGAAGGGATAATGGGCTGATCCATTAAAATGGATAATGGGCCGATCCATTAAAAAGGTGGGAAAAGAGGGATTTTTCAAATTTTAAATTTGCCTCAGTTTTAAAAATCACGTGATACACATTGGCCAGGGAGAATCACATGTGGCGCCGCCAAAGGACACTAGTTGTACTGGAGTATCAAGTTGTACCATTTTTACAAGTTGTTCTTTCCGGATTTTTTGATTCAAATTAGTTATACCCTAATTACAAGTAAAAAATTTTAGTTGTACACATGATTGACGTTAATTTTGGTACATTAACAACGTATTCATGCAATAATAAGCGTTAAAACAATATTTTCGTAGCTTTCGAAATGTTATGTGGTTTACATTAACAAAGTGACCCTTAAAGTGTAAGGTGTTTCATGAGAAACCAAGAATATGATGAGATCTATTCTCACAATTGTTTTTTCTATATTAATAATAACTAATGTTATAAAAGGTTATAAAACATTGTTTAATATTTTTCTCTATACAATATTTATATATTTTTGTAATAATAATATTTTAAAACAAGTTTTTAATAATATTTCAAACAAGTTTATAATAATATTCTAAATTGTTTATACTTGAAATCATTAATGATTCCATTTCCATTTGAGATCCCTTAAAGTTAATATAAAATATTAAATTCATATTGTTCTCAAGTTGTACCAAAACTTAAACAAGTTATACGTAGTTGTTCAAATCAGAGATTACATAAAACACTCCAAAATACAATTAACTTTGATGATGTTCTCCGGATGATGGAACCGTCTATGTCCTTGTCTCTTTCTTACGCTTTTTCTTGCGTCCATGTTCTCCTGTCGACAGAATTCTTTTTGTTCGTTTACGTCCTTTCTTTATGACATACTCTTTCGGAAAGACAATCAAATCACGTACATGTGCAGGAACATCCCACATAGACATATTAGGAACAGGATAGATGGTCCTTGAATATGCCAATGACCAATTTTCCATCCAATAATACTTACTGCACAACTCATGCAATTGGATCTCAGTTCCTGTTTTTTTTTCAGCTTCCATGGCAGCAGCAATAGCATGCACACACAAATACTTGTCAATGTCAAATAGCTTGCAAGAGCAAGTTTTCTCAACCAAATCAACCACATAACTACTACCACCAACTCCAGTCACATTATACTCAAGAAAATAGCGGTTTAGTTCAGTCACCGGCAAGAGAGTCGCTTCCACACATCTTATATGCATCAAATTCTCAACAAACGGTATTAACTTCTGCGTCCTTGGTGTCTCCAATGATATCTTCCTATATTTGTTAAACCATTCCGACAGTTTAGCAACCATCGCATCAATCATTGGTAATAGCGCGTAAGCCCTTACGTATCTAAAGACACCATTAATAGATTCAACTGTATTAGTGGTGTCTATGTTGTATCTTGCGCCTGGAAAATAACATCGCGCCCATTTGTTCTGTCCAACAGTTCTATCAAGATAAGCACCTGCAGCAGGATATCTTTTGATAAAAGCAGCATAGAGTTTCTTGAACTCGGCCTCTGTATAAGTCTTAGCGCATTTCATGAACTTGGTCGCAACTAACTCTCTGTTCACGTTCTTACAGCTCAGTTTCACATTTTAGGACAAATGATATATACAATATCCATGGTCAGCCAACGGGTATACCTGCATTACTACCTTGATGAGGCTTTGATTTCTATCAGAACAAAACACCAGTTCAGGACAATCAAGTACAACTGATTTCAACTTGCTGCAAAACCAAGTCCAACTTGCATCTTTCTCACCATCAACTACACCAAATGCAATCGGGTAATGGTGATGATCTGGATCTTGAGCTGTAGCAATGATAAGTACTCCACCATATACAGTTTTAATATTGGTTGCATCCACAATGATCACCTTTCTCATGGCCTTGAAGCCTTCAATGCACGCTCCCAATGCGAAGAATAAGTACTTAAACCTCTTATCTTCATCCAATTCAACATAGGAAACTGTACCTTGATTCATCTTCTCCAACATGTGCATATAAGAATACACCATCTTATAACTGTCATCTGGAGTACCACGTAGATCATAAGCAGCTAGCTTTTTCCCTCTATTTGCCGTGGAGTATGACACTTTTACACTGGCTCTTAGCTGGACCAAAGGAATGAGATTTTTGGGAGTTGGAGTGTCTATCAAACATGGAAAATCCTCACGTAAAACAGATGCAACTAGATGTTTTGTGCCTCTCCTTTTGTTTCTCATTGTACTTGTTTCTGACCGTAAGCACGTATGAATCTTGTTGTATGTTCTGACCGAGAAACTGTCTGAGTTCCCATCCTTCGCAGCTCGTAAAGACCACTTGCAACCCTTATCTACTTCTGAACATTTAACCACAAACAACGTCGTATCCGACTTCACTATAATAAACTCAAAACAGTTCTTATGTGCAGTTTTGTCAACTAAATCTTTAACTGCTTGCTTGTTTTCAAATTCTTGACGTATGGTCACATTCATACCATCTTCCCATTCACGCTTTACAACAGGTATAGCTTCAGCACCTTCACACACATCACTGTTATCTACCACTGCTCGTTCTTCGGATCTTTCTTCATAAAGAATAATATTGTCATCTCTCGCTTGCCTATTTTCCACCACCTCATCACGTTGAGATGACTCCCTTTCATCAAGAGTCATGTTCTCATCTGTCTCTCTACTACTTGAAATCAGCTCCTCATTACTTGCACAAGCTACACTCCCTCGATCTTCTCTACCACACGGTTGCTCTTGTCCCTGATTTCCCTCGTTTATGACTTCCACATGCAAAACTTGGAATTGATCTTCATTCATTTCCAAATAACACATAACATCATCATCATCAGATATATATATTGGCCTTTTAGGATCCACTAGTTCTGGAACATAACTAAGTTTCATCAACCTTCGCTTTTCTGCATATTTTGTTCACTAATGCAGAATAAGTAACCTCCTCAATAGATGTTTCCATTCTAAGAGATTGATGAACTTGTTCTCTTGATTTTCATCTTGATTCATTTCCCCTTTAACATAGTATCCCCCATAATCAAAAAAATATGATTTTCGACGATTATTATTCATTGTCCCTGAAATAGAAAAAAAAAACTCACATTAAAATTGGTACCAAGTTGTACCAAAAAGTCCCAGAAAATAGTCTAACTTGTAACAGTTGTACTATATAAGTTATACCAAATACTACTGGTTGTACCGTATAAGTTATACCAAATACTACTGGTTGTACCCGTACAAGTTGTACCAATTACTACTAGTTGTACTACATCCACAAAATCACTACTAATGATTCTCTAGTAGTTTCAGACTATTCTCCAGACAATTCCCGACTTGGTTCGATTGAAGAGTTACAATGCGTGCATTATCAATAGAATTTGACCCATATCGAGTAGAAGAACAAATAAGACTGAATCTAATAAGCATTCAAGATAAATCTTAGAACTCTAGACAAAAATCCCTAATTGAATACACAACATCCTATACCATTCACGAGTTTTAAACAACTTAAATTTAACAATGGGAATAAAATTGGACAAATTACCTCAATGCCGGACTGGTTGCGTTGATGGAGGAGCTCTCCCTCGAGTTTCTAAGCTCTTCTTTTGGGGGAGAATTTGGACGACGAAGAAGATGAGGAATGAATGGGAGAGAGAGTGTATTGGTGTGAGCCACATGTTTTTTTTTTCTTTTTTTTAATTGAATTTCGTTTTATTAAATCAGGGGCAAGAAGGAGAAAATGAGATCAACACAAAGTCAAAAGATACTAAGAACATAAAAGGGCATTATTGAATTATTTTTCTGGTCAAAGGGCCTGATTGATGATTCTCCTTATTTTTACATGGAGAGTTTCGAATACAAGCGATTAAAAATTTTAAACTAATTTTCTCCAACTATTCCTCTTTTTGGCTCGATCATTCTTCAACAGTACAACCCCTATGTCATAACCAATAACAACACTTTTGATCTTTTTCAACATTGCATTAAAGTATAACTTAAAAGCCGCTTATTGAACAAATTCTATATTTCTAAAGTTTGCAATTCCTTTAAGAAACAAAAAAAAAAAACTGATTGTAAGAAAAAAAAAAGAACAAAAAAGGATGAAATGAAACAGAATCCAGAAAAGGGAGTGCAGTTATTATAATTTTACACTGAACCAAGAACAAAAGCATCACTGTCTTCTCTACCTCTCTTTCTCTGCCTTTGCAATGAAAAATTCCTTCAGACATTATAATGATGATAAGTCCACTCTCACCTTGATTCATGCTCATCTCAGTTTCAATCTAAAACCCTACACACGTCTCTTTGAATCCGTAACTAATCTGTGCCATTTACTCATAATCTCCGTTTTCTGATGACCCATTTCCTCTCAGTCCTGCACTACATAACATCCATAAGGCTATCTGCTTTACTCAAAACTCTTAAGCCAAAGTATTGATTTACCAATCTCCATAAACCAAAGATGCGAAAGTATATAAATGAATAAGTGGTTAGCTAATTTTACCTGACAAATCATACCCAGTACCGCCCCATTCAGAAGGTCGGGCATGTGTCATGTGCAAGCCCTGAGGTGGTTGCATCATGAAATGAGCTCCACCACCCAATGCACTACTAGTAATAGTGTGATGCTCATCGTTTGGATTTTCCATATCAGGATGGTAACCAAGCAAAGATTCTGTGCCAGAAGGAGAAGGTAACATGTTTCCACTTCCCGAAGCATCATCTCCTTTCACACCATTTCTTCCATCCTTCCTTTTCTCTAGCTGAAACGTGCCAAGAACCACCTGTACAGGAAACCAAAGCCAAGAACCAGAGACTATCCTATCAAACTCGGCAAATAATCAAGGAATTCCATTTCTAAATTCAGGTGAGTTTGTGCACAAAGGTAAATTAAACTATAAGACAAGAGGAAAGATACCTGAACTGGACCAGCAGCCTTTAGGAGTCCCCCAACTCCTCCACCAAATATCTGACCATCTGAACTAGATAAACAAACGCTAAGGCCACCAGTTTTACCACCGTGCTCGCCCCGAATATAAGATCCACTCAGTGAGATAATTTCATACTGACCCTGAATAAAAGTTCGTAATTCTGAAGCAAGTTGATGATCATATGCAATTATCAAGCATGTATGTCGGAAGTCAATAAAAGATTCTTTAGCTGTAACGGAAGTTTAATTGTAACAAACAGTTCCCAAAAGAAACCAATTTCTTTGACAGAGAATCAATTCATAATTTCTTTGAGTAAAGCAGAAAACCCTTTCGAAAGTTCACACATTTAAGATCCTTTTTTTACAAAGTCAGTTCAAGAACTAGTTTAGAGGGACTAGATAGTAACAAGAGAATCACCTCATAAGATACACTGGTTCCTGATGCCAAGTGAGACAAGGATGCATTAGAGATGGAGCCAGATGCAGAAAGAATGCACAACTCATGCTTGCTTTGCTGAGCGAAAAGGACAATTTTCTGCGCCACATCCTATCAAATTAATCCGCAAAACACATAAGAAGACAGCAAAACCAAATCCAATGTATATTAGCACCAATGAAAACAACAGAACACATTATTAACGCACTCTGGCAAAACCAATTATACAACTGATGCTAGATTCACAGTTTTAACCAAATCATAGTCTCAAAAGAAGGCTTTACACTCACCTCACCAGGAGTTATATTAACAATGTGTGGAGTAAAACTTTGCCCAGTTTTCCCTGAAACAAGAGAAATTGTTTATGTGAAGCTCACAAAATGACAACAGCAAGAAGAGTACAATGGGGATCAATTAATCTGATAAACTGATTGAATCTTTAACATAAACTCACCTGCCAATTGTTATCACAAGATTTAAACGATTGGTACCGCCACAAGTTTTAAACAAAACAAGGACCATCAATCAGTAAAATGAAGCAATACTAGAAACACGAATCTACAAATTCTTCAATGAGTTCAAAACAAAGTTTTTGCTCCAATACATTACACATTTGGAAGCACAGAGAGTGTCTATAGAAACTCAAGAGTATCAAAGAGTTCTATATACCCAAAATTCAAGAATATTCAGTTCCATCACTAAAAATTGAAACCTTAACACAATTCACATAGAACTCGAACAATATACGATTCCAGATCACGTAAAAAGCCAAACTTTGCAACAATTAGATGAGAAAGAGAAAAGGGTTTTGAGTAAACGAACCGACGGAACCCAAAAGTGATTTCTTTGAACCGGATTTAAAAACCGGCGGCGAAACACCGGCGGCAGCAGCAGCGGCGGCTTGTTCTCTCCTTTCTCTAGCAGAAGAATTACTCGCAGAAGAAGCCAATTTCTTAGCCGCTAAAGCTTGAGCTGGAGTATCATACTTCCTAGGTCTACCTCTCTTTCTCTTAACCGGATCAATCGAAACATTCACAGCAGAAGACGGAACCGAGAAGAGAGAAGAAGAAGACCCATCATTAGGTAATTGCAGATTACCATTGTTAGAGGAAGGAATCGAGTTTCCGGCGGAAGTAGTGGTGGGTGGTGCGGCGGAGACGGTGGTGGGATTGTGGTGGTGGAAAGGATTGTAGTAAGAAGAAGTGAGATGGTGTTGTTGTTGGTCTTGGTGGTGGTGGTGGTGGTGCCTTTCGTTAGGTTCCATTCTTTTTAGATAGAAGAGAAGCTACAAAAATAAAAATGATATTTTTTTTTCTTTTCTTTTATTTTCTTTTTTCTTTTTATGCTTTATGGATTTTTTTTTTGGGTGATAAAAAAAAAGAAGGGTTATCGAGTCTATCGTGTTGTCGTCGTCTGGGATTAGATGTGTTTTTTAGTCGTTGGATTAAAAAAAAAACTTTTGAGTTTAGTAGTTCTTGACTTATGGGATCTCTGAGGATTTTTTTTTTTTTTTTTGTATTTTAGTATAGGTTCGTTTAGCTTTATATATACATTCCAAAGCTTTAAATTAGGGAAATAATAACACCTAGTTTATATTGGTAATGTCCTTTTTTTTCTTTTTGATAATTATTGGTAATGTATCTTAAACAAAACATTGGGAAATCTAACAAAATATTGTAGGTTGTAAAAGTAGGTGTGTGTATATAAACATGAGATTTCACAAAGATTTACTTCCTCTGAAATATCTGTTTTTTTTTCTGATTTCTTTTTGTTTTTGTATCTATTTTTTATTTGAAAAAATAATTAGTGTTATGATTCGATAGAAAAAAAAATCCTAATAAAACATGGGTTACCGCATTTTTCCGATCTAGATTTGTTGTATTCTCAGCTTTATGTACTATATTTTCGTTTCTGAAAAAACTACTAAAATTTACTTTATTATTAATAAACTATACGTACTTTCGAAATTATTCTTAAAAGTACACCTCTAATTAAACCGATCAATAAACCGGTAATCACTTAGACCGGTTTGATTTAATCTGAATATAACCGAATTTAATACAATTTTGACCAGTTTTTTCTTCTTTGTTCACCCGATTTTGACCCAAACGATTTTCACTAATTTCGATCTTCACCTTCCTATTCTTCATAGAAAGGTTTGCTCAGCACAGCTTAAGCCCAAGCAAGATTAGATAAAAATGGATTCAGTAAATCACACATTGTCCAAAATCCTACAGCTGCCACTAGTTACACTTCCTCTAGCCACATCTCCACCATGGACTTCTCTACCAACAATCAGTCGTAGTCTTCTGCTTCACTTCAATCGAAATGTTCCCCAAATGAAGAATCTATTCTTCCTCTACATCCGTCTATACCATCACGTTTTCATGATGCCCATTCGAATTAGGGTTCTTGAACAACAAGATCACGCCACAAAGGCACAAACATGTAAATCTCGACACTTTGTTCAAAACAAATCCAAACCCGATTAAAAAAACAAGAACCTGAATAAATAAATCGGCTCTTTTATTTTCGGTCTAGAGCACAGATCTCCAAAATAAAAAAAAATTATGGCTCTTCTCTAATTTAACTGTTTGAAAAAAAAAAATCTAAGTTAAAAGAAAATTTATCAATATAACCTTTTTTGGTAAAACATTCCCAATTTCAGAATTTCCCTATCTGAGAACTACCATCTTGATAAACAAAGAGTTTTCAATTATCTTCTCCAAATCCAATTATAAGATTATTATTTTTTCGAAGGCTAAATCTTAGGTTCGAAGAGAATGTAGTAGAGAGGGAACAATGGCTAGAAAACTACTTTTTGTGTGGGAGGGGTGGGGGGGAGAGGAATCTAAAATGCCACCATTCTAATTTTGTATTGATGCGAAAATAAAATTTAAAGGAATTTAAATCAAATAAATATGAAATTTTTTTTTAAAAAACTATCCAACATAGGAATCATGACCCAAGCTCATCCGACCTAAAACCATCAGACAAAAGAAACCGAATTGATTTCCCCTTTCAAAAAAATCGAATCCCTAATTTTAGAACAATAAAAATCGATATAAATCAATTTCTTTTCCCCTTCCTTCTCTCAGTCGCTGTCGAGGATAAAAAGTGAAATTTCGTCGAGTTTCTCCTATGTCGGTTCGCTTGTTCATATCTAACTCCTTCAGCCATTGAGAATCTGTCGCCGCTGGTAGTACTGGCTCGTGTTATAGACAGTGGCTTGGTATATGATTCGGCGGCGAGGCGTCCGTTGAAAGAAACTATCGTGATTAATCGGAGAGAACCACCAATAGATGCTTCGGAGATTGAAGCTGCAAAAGGAACCGTGGAGATGGAACAATATCCGACAGAACCACCAACATATGCTTCGGAGATTGAAGCTATTACAGGAACAACTTAGATGTAAGAGGATCTGATAGAACCACCAGCAGATGCTTCCGAGATTTAACCTGTAAATGAAACTCTAATAGAAGCTACAATTGAATGGGCAATTGAAGCACGAGAGGCTGAGTTAGAGAATGATCCAATAGAAGCTGGAGTTGGTGGCGTGAATGGTTCAAGAGAAGCTATGATAGATGCAACAGAAGCAAGAGACATTCTATAAACAAGATAACCTCCCAGAGAAGTGGAAAATGTAAATGAAATGGAAGAAGCGAGCACCTTTTCAAATGAAGGTGATGGGGAGGAGGAGGAAATGGTGAATGCAATAGAAGAAAAGGAAGATAACATTATCTCATGTGTATATACATTGAAAGCTCTATATATATATATATATATATATATTAGTTTGACAATGGATTAGAAAAGTTATGACACAACTAGTTTAACTATTACAACTTAGTAGAATTTTGTCTTCTTGGTAAATATGTTCATATGTGTTTAAATTTATGTGTTTTGATACAATTAGTTTAACTAAGTAGTATCAATGTATTTTTTGAATTTGTAGGATACATATGAAGCCAAGGATGTTGCTGGTATAGAAGATGATGATCATGCTGATAAGGACGATGATGATAAAGAGGAGGATGATGATGATGCTATATAGTAAGGATGATGAAGATGGTGAGTATGAAGATGAAGATGCTGGTGATTATGGTAAAGATGATGGTAAAGAGGATGATGATGACGATGCTGGTACAAACAATGATAAAGATGGTGATGATTCTGGTAAGGATGATGGTAAAGAGGATGATGATGTTGTTGGTAAGGATGGTGAATCTGGTAAGGATGATGATTCTGGTAAAGAAAATGTTGGTATGGAGGATGATAATTCTGATGCTTCTAAGGCTCCTGAGAATATTGATATTATTACAAATGAATATGATTCCCAGTAACTACTGTCAAAGAGTATGTTTTTAGGTCTGACAGAATACACCAAAGGATGTAAAATATGAACTAGGTGTAAGGTCACACAGACAGTGGAATACATAGAGAAGAAGTGTACATGAGTATTAACTTGGTTTATAAATCACCTTTGATTCAACCATGTATTCCACATGCCTAAAGAACCAAACTACATGACTGAAGGCATGTGAATGATTATGTTTCGCACAATTTGCATAGAGATGGAAACAGAATGCTGTTTTGTGGTGAATGGAATACCTATTAGTTATTCTCTGAAAACATATGTTATTAACTGGGTTTGATTGCCATGAATGCCTGGAAGACTAAAAGAATTGGGGAATTTGAAGTTTGTGAAGATGATGTTTGGCGGGACTGAAAAAATAAAGATAAAGGATGTAGAAGATAAGTTGAATGAGAAGAAGAGTAAGAGCACTATAGACATGAATAAGTTAGTCATCTTGTACTTCCTATGCAAGGTAGTAAAAGCAAATTCAAAGGATAATAAAAACAAAGAATCCTTTCTTTTAAGGATTGTTGATGATGTGAATGCATGTGAGAAGTTTTCATGGGGCGTTATTCATTCTTAAATTGTATGAAAGGGATCCAGAATAGATGAAGAACATGAAAGGGTCCGTGAAACGTAAAGCGCAACATAACTTTAGTGGATTCATTGTGCCTCTTGAGGTAAGTCTTTATGATTATTGTATGAGTATAAGAAATAAAGCAATATTTTTATGATATTAACAGTGTGTTTGTTTTGTCATTGTATTTGTAGATTCTCGCTTTTAAATCTATTTCATACCTTGAACTAAAATTTAGAGAAGTTGCACCCGTAGAGAAGGACTGTCCAAGGATGTGCAAGCACGGGTTTAAAGAAATTTGCATGTAAAGTATCATGTTGGAAGAAATATACCAAGAGCTTAGAAAAAATACGACTAGAGTTTATGTATTCACTTGGTAATTTTTATATATATAATGAGATTAGATTTAAGTTAAATATATTTCTATTTACAAGTTATTGATAGCATCTGTTGGTGTCGGATCCCACACCAGAAGTCCGAGACCAACCAAAGATTGCCACGAAGACAAGATAATGGCCCATAAAGGATAAAGCCCATTGGACCCGTGAGCCGAAGGAACGGTCGAAGTGGTTATCACCACTTCGAGAATCCGAAGTGATTGCGCTTCGACATGAGTTCGGTGTAGAAGACACGGGTAAGTCGGTTCAAGGACACTTGGGCCAAAAGGCGAGACCCATAAAGACCAGAGTCAACTCAAATTCAAACGTTGAGCATTAAAGTCAAAGAATCAAAACGAACACATTTAAGAGAGAATAATTGTACTTAATTAGCCATTTAAATGTCATTTTTTTTATGTATAAGTATGGAGGCCAATGGCCATGTAAAAGGGATCTCTCTCTTGAGCAAGAAATACGATAGCAATTTTTGTAGCAATTCATAAGCCTTTTACGTTCTTATTTTTTGTCCCTCAAGAATAATCTTTCCTACTAATAAAAATACTTGAGTGTGTGAATCCGACATCCACATTTTGGCGCCGTCTGTGGGGATAGAGGATTCTTGAGTGGTCAGATTTTTCTTTACTACATTCCCGAGATAAGCAGCAATGTCCGGAGGAGACGCCGTTGAGACATCATTGGCCGAAACCCTCAAAGCTATGCAGCAAACCATGTCGGACATATCACAAAAGTTCTCGGATGTGGAAAAGGCTGTCGATACGTTGTAAACATCCCAGGTATCTCTTAGTCAAAACGTCAATACTATACAAACTCGTGTTCGCTCTTTAAGTGCAGGAAATCCTGTGGGAATCCGAAGGCGGATACTCAACTCGCCAAGTTCCGTTGCGCGAAATGAAACCAGCGGACAAACAACTCCTGGTACTACTAATAATGTAGTTCAGCCATTGGATGGAGAGGCACAGCTCGAAGA